CGGCGGAATGCTACCCGAGTCAACGCTAGTACGCTAGCACTCCAACGCTAGGCTAACGCTGTCCGAGCCATAACTTCGTAATGGCAGAACTTTTCGCGAGGCAACTTGGCTTATTTTAAAGCTCTTAGAGTGAGCTTCGATATAGGAAATTCTCAGCTTAATCCGATCGACGGTCTGCACGATACGCTGCGCGACGTTCAAGGTACTCTTGCTGTTTTGACTAAGTCCCTCTTGATCCCTCTCTCTACAAACTCGGACCCGAGGATAGGGGCTGGTCTTGTACCAGGCACCCAAGGACCCTTGGAGGTGACCCCGAGGAGAGGTTTTAAGTGTGATAAAGTCTTAATAGCTTGAGTTTATTAGGCCCTTACACCAACAAGTACTAGCAGCACCTCCAGCAGCACCGCCAACAGCAGCAGCACCTCCAGCACCAGGGTCCGCAGCACCCGCAGCAGCTCCAACGCACGGGTCCTCAGTACTAGCAGCACCTCCAGCAGCACCGCCAGCAGCAGCAGTACCTCCAGCACCAGGGTCCGCAGCACCCGCAGCAGCGTCAACTCCGGGGACCCCAGCACCAGCAGCTCCACTCCGGAGACTAATGTGCCGAGCGTACCACTCTCGAAGCTGTGGGGAAGAGGGCGGCTCCCGCCGTGGTGGGGAAACACGAGTACCAACTCCAGTAGCACCACGAGCCCGAGACGCACCACGCCGGAGGCTGCAGTACCGTGAGTACCACTCATGTAGCTGCTGCGAAGAGGGAGGTCCTCCAGGCGCCTCACAGTCAACTGCAACACCACCAGGCTCAGCACCCCCAGTCTCAGCAACGCCAGGCTCAGTACCCTCAGACCCAGCACCCCCAGGCTCAGCACCCTCAGTCTCAGTACCCCCAGCCTCAGCACCCCCAGACTCAGCACCCCCAGGCTCCGCCCGCTCAGGCTCCGCACGCTCAGGCTCAGCACCTCTAGCAGGACGCGAGTCGACAGCTACCTCGGCAGGCTCAACCGGGTCTACCTGAGAGACACCTGAGGGAGCGGCACCCTGAGGGGGGAGGGGGTCTACCACTGCAGCACCTGGCGCGAGGAAGAGAGGCGGGGGAGGGAGCGGGGCAGTGCGGTAGGGGAAGAGGCGGTAGAAGGGCACGGACTCGTCAAAAGTGACGTCCTGAGAGGGGAAGACGCGGTGCGAGGCGGGGTGGTAAAACTGCCAGCCAGACGCATCCGGGACAAAGCCAAGAAAGACACAAGGAGCAGTGCGGGAGGAGAGCTTGTCCGCAGACGTGTCGCGAACAAAAGCTCGGGATCCCCAGACACGGAAGCGTGACGCATCGCCAACCTCCCCCGTCCACAGCAGTGTGGGCGAGGTCTCCGGAGCGGAGACACGGGGCCAGAGGTTGAGTTGATGCGCAGCGTACCGGACCGCAAACGGCCACAGAAAGTGGGGGGCAGCCGCATGGACTAAGGAGGTACGAGCGACCTCCATGACCAAGCCAATGCGGCGCTCAGCAACCCCATTCTACTGTGGAGAGGCCGGGAGCGTGAACGACTGGCGAATGCCGTGCTCGGCACAGTAGGCTGCCAAGAGGTCGGAGGAGAACTCGCCACCTCTGTCAGAGTGCAAGCGCAGGACAGGAAACTCCGAGCGAAAACGCTCTCGCAGCTGAAGACGTGCTCTGCTGATCCAAGGGATCAGAACATTAGGGACTTCACCCTTGGTGCGCAAGGGGAAGACCGTGGTGTAGCGCGAGTAGTCGTCAACGACGATCAAGAAGTACCTCTCCTGGCCCTGACCACGGACGCGGGCTGGGCCCCACACGTCCATGTGGAGCGTCTGCAAAGGAGCAGTCGTCGGGGGGAACGAGGAGGAGTGAGGGGCAGCGCGCTGCCGCCCCTCGACACAGGGAAGACAAGGAGGAGCAAGGGAGGGTGGGAGGGGAGGGAGTACCCGAGGAAGACCAGAGACAAGGTACCGGGCGTGCATGCCCCGAAGGCGCTGCACTGACGGGTGACCAAGTCGGTGGTGCCAGAGGACAGTCTTGTGCGCTAGAGAGCGACACGAGCAGGGGGCAGAGAGCTGACCTGACGCAGACGCAGACGCAGACGCCGCTACCTGAGGGGACTCAGTGGTCAGTGTGTACAGGTCCGACCCCGGCTGTCGAGTGAAGGTAGCCAGGTGACGGCCCGTCCGAGCACACGTGCAGTGTGTCACGCGCTCGTAGGCAGGGGTGAACTGGTGAACACCCCCATCCTGAAGCGCACAACCCGCCACCAAGTTCGTAGAGAACGAGGGGAGGTGGAGACCTGACAGTGTGCCCGACGGGACAGCAGGACAAGGAAGGAGGGTGGAGGAGGTCGCAATGACCGGACCCCCAGAGGGGTCAGCGAGTGAGACAGCGACTGGTCGAGCAAGGGGCTCAAGGGGAGTGCGGTCACGAAAGAAACAGCGCGAAGCGCCTGAGTCTAGAGTGAAGGTGTGCAGTGCCTCAGTGGACTCAGTAGTACCTGGGGTGGCAGACACACAAGCACCTAGAGCAGTAGCCTCACCAGCACCTGGGGCAGCGGACGCGCAAGCACCTAGAGCTACAGCCTCACTCGTGCGGATGCCTGGGTCAGGCGGAACACACAGGTACTGGTCCTCCTCTCCACTAATAGTCAATGCATACATGGCTTTGAGAATAACATCAAAATCAAGAGCATAGATATCGATATCCTTCTTGAGGAGATCAGCCCACTGAGGGAGCTCAGGAGCGTCAGGAAACTGAGCACGCCAAGCGTCATCTAGGCGAGAGAAGGAGCGCTGAGCAGTGTGCGCCCTCCCGCACGTCTGTCCCTTGCGGCGACCAGTGCGGATGACGTACGTGCAGCTAAGGCTACCCCCCCCACCCCCGTGCTGTAAGTACCACTCACGAAGCTCCTGGGAGGACTGAGGGTGCTGCGCGCTCTGGCCAGGGCCAGAGCCTCCACGACCACCACCACCGCCTCCACCACGACCACCACCGCCCCTGCCGCCGCCACGTCCACTGCCGCCACCACCACCGCCCCCACCCCGACCACCGCCGCCGCCGCTGCCTCCACCACCCCCACCGCTGCCACTAGCCCCTCCAGCCCCGCCACCGCCCCCACCGCCGCCACCACCCCCACCACCGCCTCCCCCGCCGTCACCCCCACCGCCCTTGCCTCCCCTGCCCTTGCCGCTGCGGCGCCCGCTGGGAGCGGACGCAGAGCCGACCTGCTCAGCACCAAGGAGGTCGACAGCAGCAGCAGAGGCGACAGAGGGGAGCAGGGAGGAGGGGGAACACCCCTCGAAGAAAGGGGTGCGGGGGTCGCCACGAGAGGCACCTACAGCTACAATACTCTTCTCAGCTGCAAGTAGTTCCTTCTCTAGGGCGGCAATGGTGAGCTCAGTGGGGCAGCGAGCTAGGAAGTGGTCCCTGACTGTACGCAGAGTGTCAGGGAGGCGGGTGACTAGGTGGTAGAGAGTGAGCCAGAGCGGGGGAGGGTTGGAGGCAAGAAACTCAGCGGGCATGGCTGCACGGAAGCGGGCATCACTAGTGCGGAGGTGAGTGATGAGGTCAGCGACTGTCTGGAAGGCGGACAGGTCGGGGAACAGGTAGGGAAGCGAAAGGCGGCCTAGTGCAGCTGAGGCCGGGGAGGAGTAGCGCGCAACTACAGCAGTGTAGAGGGCCTGCGCAGTCTGATGCTGGCCAAAGTGCTCGCGCTCATCGTCTGGCAGGGAGTTGCGAATGGCAAAGCGGGCGTGGGCATCGCGAGTCTGCCACTACGAGCGAGCAGTAGCGGTAGCAGTAGTAGCAGGAGCAGGGACTGTGCCTAGTGCGTGATCGTACAGCGAGATATCCTCTCGGGCAGTGAGCTGGAGGAACAGGTGCAGATCATCGAGCCAGGTCTCAAACTTAATCGGGCGGCCCTCAGTATCGAACGAGAGAACTGTAGGGCTAGCCATAGTTGAAGCAGTAGCAGTGGCAGTAGTAGTAGTAGCAGGAGTAGCAGTAGCAGCAGTGGTAGTAGCAGTAGAGCGGCGCGGCTCGGCTATGGCGGCGCGGCTCGGCTAGGGCGGCGCGGCTCGGCTAGGGCGGCGCGGCTCGGTCGGGTCGCGCGCCTCGGTCGGGTCGCGCGGTTCGGCTCGGTCCTAGAGAGGCGAGCACGGGGCCGGGTGGGGCTGTTAAGGGAGAGCGCGGGGCCGTCCAGGGCGAGGGCGAGGCCGGTTGGGGGCCGTTCGGGGCTAGCGCGGGGCCGTTCGGGGGCCGTGAGAGGCTAGCGCGGGGCCGACGGGGGCCTTAGAGGGCTAGCGCGGGGCCGAGGGGGCCGTGAGAGGCTAGCGCGGGGGGCCGTACGGGGCCATTCGGGGCTAGCGCGGGGCCGTTCGGGGGCCTTGAGAGGCTAGCGCGGGGCCGACGGGGGCCTTAGGGGGCTAGCGCGGGGCTAGCGCGGGGCCGACGGGTCCTTAGGGGGCTAGCGCGGGGCCGCACGGGGCCTTGAGAGGCTAGCGCGGGGCCGTAAGGGGCCTTAAGAGGGCGACGCGAAGGGCCGTGAGGGGCCTTAAGGGGCGACGCGAGAGGGCCTTAGGGGGCCTTAAGAACAAGGCGCTCGAGGCGCAGGAAAAGGCGGCGCACGAGGGCGCGGCTAGCGGAAACGGTGGGCCCTATCGTTTCGGTCCTAGGTGAAACCTAGGCTCGTAATACCATGTCAGAATGAGAATGGATCACTAGAATGAGGGTTGGGTACAAATAGGTCAAACCTAACCCTAGAAATGTGTACCCACTATAAGCTAACCCACTGTAGCCTAAACAACCACAACATACAATGTTTGACAGACGCTGCAGCAAACACCTGACTCGACGCAACTACCTGACCAGACTCACCAACCGGAGGAGACTCAGTAGTCAGTGTGTACAGGCTCGACCTCGGCCGATGGGTAAACGTGGCCAAGTGTCGGCCCGTCCGAGCACACGTACAGTGGGTCACCCGCTGTCTCGCATGAGTGAACTAGTCAACCCCCTTATCCTGTAGATCAGCACCACTCACCAAGTTTGTAGAGAACGAGAACACGCTGACAGGGTGTTAGAGGGGGCTCCCGGACACGGTAAGACAGTGAAGAAGCTAGCAAGGACAGGACCCCTAGAGGGGTCCGCGAAGGAGACCGTAACTGGCCGAGTGAGCGGCGTATGCGTGGTGCGGTCTCGACGTAAGGAGCGGGAAGTACCCGAGTCAAGGGTGAAGGTGTGTAAGGCCTGAGCCGACGTGGTACCTGAGAGAGCAGACTCAACAGCACCTGGGGCAGCAGACACACTAGTACCTAGAGCAGCAGCCTCACCAGCACCAAGAGCAGGAGCCTCAATGCCCGGGTCAGGCGGAACACACGGGTAACAGTCACCCTTATCACTAGTAGACACAGCATACATGGCAGCAAGAATAGCATCATAATCAAGATCAAAGATAGCAACCCCCGCCCTAGACAGCTCTCCCCAACGAGGGATCTCAGTGGCGTCAGGGAACTGGTGACGCCACGCGTCCGTCAGGCGGCCGAAGCAGCGCTGGGTGGAGTGCGGGCTCCCGCACTGCTCACCAGTGCGATCGCCGGTCCGGAGGACGTAGGTGCAGGGACCAGTACCCCCACCTCGCTGACGCTCAGCGTACCACTCACGAAGCTACTGGGGGGACAGGGTCTCACTACTGCGCTCCTGCTGCTGGCGCGGACCACCACCGGAACCACTCCTCTGCGCAGAGCCGCGACCAGCTCCACCGCCGCCGCCGCCGCCTCCGCCACCTCCGCCGCCTCCACTCCCTCCGCCACCGCCGTTGCCTCCTCCGCCTCCACTGCTGCCACCGACACCTCCACCCCCGCCACCACTCCCACCACCACCCCAACCCCCTCCATTGCCTCCACCACCACCTCCACCACCCCCGCCAGCCCCTCCAGCGCCCTTGCCCCCCTTGCCCTTGCCGGTGCGGCGCCTCCCGCTAGGGGCAGACGCAGCGTCGACTAACTCGAAGCCAACGAGGTCAGCCGCAGGAGCAGAAACAACAGAGGGCAAGAGGGGGGAGGGGGAACACTCCTCAAAGACGGGCGTGCGAGGGTCACCACGAGAGGCTCTTACAGCGACTATGCTCTTCTCTGCTGCTAGGAGGCGCTCCTTGAGGAGGTCAACGGTGAGAGTGGTGGGCCGCGAAGGGGCGACGACGGGGCCGCGTAGGGGCGGCGACGGGGCCGCTAGGGGCGGCGACGGGACCGCGTAGGGGCGGCAACGGTGCCACTAGGGGCGGCGACAGGGCCGCGTAGGGGTGGCGACGGGGCCGGTAGGGCGGCAACGAGTCCGCTAGGGGGGTGACGATGGGGCCGCTAGGGGCGGCGACAGGGCCACTATGTTAACAAAAATCTCTTTCGAGATTGTGCTCCCATGCTTCGTGATCTGGTCACGGATGTTGCGATAGCGGTTGATGTAAGAATTCGCTTTCTCCCCGTGCCCCATCTTTGTCTCCATGGGTTGCTGCAGGAGCCTGCTGGCGCTAACCAAATCCTTCGGCCGATAGACCTGAACGAGGTGCTTCCAGGCTTCCAAGGCTGGAGCGGCGCTCTCTTTGTAGGAGCGTATACTGAGTTGTTCCGCAAGCGTCATATTTCGTAGCAGCACACTATACGCTATGAGGGACTCGTTGTAGTACTGAGCCCTGGCGTTGTCGGTGTCGTCCAACGGTTTAGGGTAGGAGCCGTCGAAGTAGTGGTAGATCTGCGCTGTCTGTAGGAGGAGCTCAAGCTCGAAACTCCATGTGTAAAAATCTTTGCCGTCAAATGCAGCAGTAGTTTTGATTTTTTAAACGCTGAGAAAACGTGCTTGCGCAGAGTTAATGAATTCATCACTTGGACGGGGGGCAGTTGTTGTTGATTTGTATGTGTCGAGGGAGAAGGTGTGCGCTGTCAGGCATATATGCTATAGTCTGTGTAGGCTGTAGTGGGGCAGTTCATATGGGGTACAACACTTTAGGGTTTATTACTTGTACTCATCATTCTGCTCAATGCATCCATTCCTCGTTTCTGACATGGTATCAGAGCGAAGGTCTCGGGTTCGAATCCCGGTGTATGCACTTCGGGCATCCCAGTGCGGGGGGGTGTCAGAGGTCCACTGGTGATCCCCGATTGATCCTATAGGGAAGGGTTACAGGCACGTTGGCCTGGGGGGTTATGGGCGCACTAACCCGCTACTAAAACAAGCCCTTTTATCCCAATGGTCTAGTGGTTGGGATTCTGACATGCGCGGTGGTATCACGGCTTTTCGTAGCCGGTTGTCCAGGTTGAGTTGGTTGGGAAGAGGTTCCCGCATCACCTTTGCGCAGGTCTTGGAGCTCTTTCTCCATAGTTGAGAGTCGAGCGAATAAGTGCTTGAGTGCGGCAGTGCCGATCGTGGTTGCTGCCTCATTTGTTGCAGCCGGGTTGGTTTGCCCTCGGCCGTTAGATTTGCTTGGCCTCCGGATCCTCCGGCCATCTTGGTCTAGGAGCGTGTGCTGCTCGCCAGATCTTGGTTTGGCGAATTTCACGGAATTGATGTTGCGAAGAATCCTTAGGTAGCTCTCATACCATGTTACAATCCCAAGTAGGACTTAGCGAAGGATCGCTCAGGGTTGATCGCAGAGTAGTGTTTGCAACGGTCTCCAGTCTCTTCTCCCGACACAAGGCCAGCATGGCCTTGTTGTCTACGTACAGCACTGGAGGAGAACGAGGCGGCTCTCCGAGGTCAGTCAGCAGGTAGGTGAGCCAGCAAAGCTCCTGAGCAGCCATGGCTCCTGCGTAGATCTCAGCCTCACAACTGGAGCCGAGAACAGAAGACGAGCGGGTAGCCCGCCACGAAACAGAGCCTGAACCAAGGCTGCAGGTGTAACCCTGTGACGACCGCTGCGTAGACCAAAGAAACGTCTGCGTGCCCAGTGAGGACCACTGGACGTTGCCCTCCAAGCACAAGCCCTATGCCCGACATACTGCACAAGTAGCGCAACACCCTCTTCGTTGCAGCCATGTGCTCTGGTCGGTGTCTCCCAGGAGCAACATAGCGTGCCAAGATGCTAAGAGGGTATGCAAGGTCAGGTCGTGTGCAGGTCATTAGGTACATGAGGCAGCCAACAAGCTCTGGGTACGGGCCACTCGGCTCTACGAACTCATCAGAATGCAGAGCTGAGAGCGAGTGGCGAGTAGACAGAGGAGTGGCCTGAGGCAAGGAGTACGTGAAGTCGAAGCGCTGAAGGACCTGCTGCACCATGTGTGACTGAGTCATGGTAATGGTGCGGCGTGCTCTGTCCCGGGTGATTTGCAGGCCAAGGTAGCTACACAATTCACCCAGGTCTGTGCACATGTGTCTCTTCTGTAGCTCGGACTTCACGTGGGCGAGTCCAGTAGTGTCAGCAGTAGCAAAGACCAAGTCGTCGACGTACACGAGGATGTAGAACGGCGGCAAAGAAGTGTCGGTGCGCAGAAACAGCGACGGGTCGGCAGTAGAGGGAGCAAACCCAAGAGCCGCAAGTGTAGTCCTCAGTGTGTCGTGCCACTCACGCGGTGCCTGGCGGAGACCGTAGACTGGCCGTCGGAGGCTCATTTGGGTGCCAGGAGGGAAAGTTCCAGTGAAGCCAGGTGGACGGCGCAGCCAGATCTCCTCGTGCAGGCTACCCTACAAGAAAGCAGTGCTGAAGTCAAGAGAGTGGAGCTCGTAGTCGCGCTGAGCGGCTATGTGCAGCAGCACCCGAAGAGTGGTCATCTTCGGGGTGGGAGAGAAGGTCTGAAAGTAGTCAACTCCCTGCCGCTGACTGAAGCCACGAGCCACGTGCCGCGCCTTGAAGACAGGTGGAGAGCTCGGCGGCCGCTTCACCCTGAAGATCCACATCCCACTGACGATGTTCGCCCCAGGAGGGGGAACCGCGTCAACGTAGGTGCCTGTGGACTTCCAGGAAGCCATCTCTGCATCCATAGCTTCCTGCCACTGAGAGGAGTAGGGACCCTCTACGGCCTCCGCGTAAGAGCGCGGAGTCGGGATGTCTAGTGCATCCGGGTCTCCCTCAGGGGCAAGCAGTAAAGAAGCGAGATGAGGTGAAGCAGCTGCCAGACATTGAAACTCCTCCTGCCTATCCTCAAGGACGTCCGTGCCAAGAGCACACTCACCCCCGACGGACGGAGGACAGACAGACGCAGACTCAGCAACAAGACTAGCAGCGTAGTCTAGACGACACCGAGCAGCAAAGTCGACGAGCTCAGCAACAAGAGCAGACGCAGCAGTGGACTCAAAGGAGGGGTCAGTGACGACAGTAGCAAGGAGACGCGTGACAGTAGGACAGGCAGCACGAAGAGAGTCCGACTCAGGGTCGGCAAGCGCAGGAAGAGAGGACTCAGGAGGAGAGGGCAAAGGGGCACGCAGAGGAGCACTGGACGGACGCAGAGACATCCGGTGCGTGCCAGGGACAGGAGGAGGACGCTGACGCGAACTGCGACCACTAGTGCGAGCAGCACGAACAGGCGACGCAGGACGAGACGCAGGCTCACGACGCTCAGCAAGACCTCGAGTAGGACCAGTGTAGGGAGAGGGAGAAGGCAGTGGGGAGGCCGGCGGTAACTGTGACTGCGACTGGAGAGGCGGTGGACCCTCTAAGAGAGGAGGAAGACCAAGAACCTGCTGAAGGAGCGGAACGAAGTACGGCCGAGGCCGCGCGGCGGCACCACACACAGCAGGGACAGCACCAGCACCCTCAGCACCTCCGGCAGCACCAGCGCCAACAGCAACTCCAGTGGCAGGACCTCCAGCAGCGCCAGCAGCACCCGCAGCACGACCACCACCAGGACGTACAGTTGTAGTCTCAGAACCAACACCCTCAGCAGCTCCAGCTCCAGGCGGACCCGCAGGCCCAGCAGCTCCGGGACCGGCGGCACCAGCACCCTCAGCGGCCGAAGAAGCGCCAGCTCCAGCAGTACGCCTCCAGCGGCGAGCAAACCACTCACGCAGCTCCTGTGGAGAGAGTGGCTCTTGCCGAGACGAAACACCCAGAGAACCTCCAGGCCCAGTACCGCAAGACGCCACAAGGGGAGGTCCAGTGGCCGCAGGCTCCACACCTCCAGGCTCAGCAGCTCCAGACGCAGCACCCCCAGGCTCAGCACCCCAAGGCTCAGCACCCACGCGCGCAGCACCCTCAGAGTCAGCACCCCCAGGCTCAGCACCCCCAGAGGCAGCACCCCCAGGCTCAGCACCCCCAGGCTCAGCACCCCCAAGCTCAGCACCCCCAGACTCAGCACCCCCAGAGTCAGCACCCCCAGGCTCAGCACCCCCAGGCTCAGCACCCCCAGCAGTACCTGAGTCACCAGCAACCTCGACCGGCTCGACTGCATCGACCTGGGACACACCTGAAGGGGCAGGACCCTGAGGGGGAAGGGGGTCTACCGGGGGGGGACCTGGCACAAGGAAGTGCGGCGGCGGCGGGAGGGAAGGAGTGCGGTAGGGGAAGAGGCGGTAGAAGGGGACGGACTCGTCGAACGTGACGTCCTGGGAGGACAGAACACGACGAGAGGAGGGGTGGTAGAACTGCCACCCTGGCGCGTCAGGAGGGAAGCCTAGGAAGACACAGGGAGTAGCACAAGGGGACAGCTTGTCCGCAGACAGGTCGCAGACAAACGCCCAAGATCCCCAGACACGGAACGCAGACGCATCGCCGACCTTCCCCGTCCACAGCAAAGCTGGGGAGGTCTCCGGCCGGGAGACCCTGGGGTGAAGGTTGAGCTGATGCGCCGCGTACCGAACCGCAAACGGCCACAGAAAATGGGGGGCAGCCGCATGCATCATGGACGTACGAGCGACGTCCATGACCATGCCAATGCGGCGCTCAGCAATCCCATTTTGCTGTGGAGAGTCCGGAAGCATGAAGGTCTGGCGAATGCCTCGTGCACGACAGTAGGCTCGCAGAAGGCCAGAGGAGAACTCTCCGCCTCGGTCAGAGTGCAGACGCAGAACAGGAAAGTCCGAGCCAAAGCTCCTCCTGAGCTGGAGACGAGCCGCGCGGATCCAGTCGATCAACACCTCAGTGACATCACCCTTGCTGCGCAAGGGGAAGACTTTGGTGTAACGCGAGTAGTCGTCAACCACCAGCAGGAAGTAGCGCTCGTGACCCTGTCCACGGACGCGGGCCGGGCCCCACACGTCCATGTGAAGCGTCTGTAGAGGAGCCTCTGTCGGGGGAAACTGGGAGGAGTGAGGGGCAGCCCGGAGCCGCCCCTCGACACAGGGGACACACGAAGGTCCTGGCCCCGAAGAAAGGGGAGGGAGAGACCGGGGGAGACCAGAGACAAGGACACGGGAAGCCATGCCCCGAAGACGAGGCAAGGAGGGGTGGCCAAGACGGTGGTGCCACAAGAGAGTCTCGTGAGAAAGGAGGCGACACGAGCAAGGGGCAGACTCAGGACCAGACCTGGACGCAGCAACAAACACCTGACCCGACGCAGCTACCTGGCCAGACGCAGGGACTGGAGGAGACTCAATGGTCAGGGTGTAGAGACTCGACCCGGGCCGACGCGAAAACGTGGCTAGGTGTCGGCCTGTGCAGGCGTCCGAGCAGTGGGTCCCCCGCTGACTCGCAGGAGTAAAGTGGTGAACCCCCGCATCCTGCAGGTCAGCACCACTCACCAAGTTCGTCGAGAACGAGGGGAGGTACAGACCTGACAGGGTGCCCGAGGGGGCAGCCGGACACGGGAGGACAGTGGAGAAGTTAGCGAGGACAGGACCCCCAGAGGGGTCAGCCAGGGAGACTGCAACCGGCCGACCAAGCGGCGTGAGTGTGGTGCGGTCTCGAAAGAAGGAGCGAGAAGCCCCTGAGTCAAGTGTGAAGGCGAGGGAGGCCGAAGCCGACGCAGTACCTGAGAGCGCAGCCTCACCAGTACCTGAGAGCGCAGACGCACTGGCACCTAGAGCAGCAGCCTCACAATCACCTAGCGCAGTAGTACCAGTGCCGAGGTCGGGCGGGAAACACCGGTAACAGTCACCCTCATCACTAATAGTCACAGCATACATGGCAGCAAGGATAGCATCAAAGTCAAGATCAAAGATAGCCACGCCAGCCCTAGACAGCTCTCCCCAGCGGGGGATCTCCGTGGCCTCCGGAAACTGCTGACGCCAAGCGTCCGTCAGGCAGCCAAAACAGCGCTGGGTGGGGTGGGCACCCCCACACTACTCACCCGCGCGGTCGCCGGTGCGAAGGACGTAGGTGCAGGGACCAAGTCCCCCACCACGCTGACGCTGCGTGTACCACTCACGGAGCTGCTGGGGGGTGGGGACGTCGCGAGAACGCTGCTGCTGCTGCTGCTGCTGCTGGCGCTGACCACCCCCAGTGCCGCTCCGCTGCGAAGTGCCACTCCGACCACCTCCACCACCTCCTCCTCCACCTCCTCCACCTCCGCCACCGCCGCCACCCCCGCCAGTACCGCCGCCGCCGACGCCGCCTCCGCCACCACTGCTGCCACTAGCACCCCCACCCCCGCCACCTCCTCCACCGCCACCCCCACTCCCTCCGCCGCCTCCACCTCCACCGCCACCGCCCCCACTAGCCCCACCCGCTCCCTTGCCCCCCTTGCCCTTGCCAGGGCGACGTCTCCCGCTAGGGGCAGACGCCGCACCGACCGACTCAAGACCAACGAGGTCGGCCGCAGCGGCAGAGGCGATAGAGGGCAAGAGAGGGGAAGGAGAACACCCCTCAAAGATGGGGGTGCGGGGGTCACCTCGAGAGGCTCCTAGAGCGACGATGCTCTTCTCCGCCGCTAGGAAGGCCTTCTCTAGGCTGTCGACTGTGAGAGTGGTGGGACAGATCGCGAGGAAGTGGTCCCGGACTACACGAAGGGAGTCGGGGAGGCGGGTGACTAGAAAGTAGAGAGTGATGTACATGGGGGGGGGGTTCTTGGAGCAGAAGTCAGCAGGAAGCGCAGCGCGGTAGCGGGTGTCACTAGTGCGGAGATGCGTAATGAGATCAGCGACTGTGGGAAAGGCGGCAAGGTCAGGGAAGAGGAAGGGTAGCATGAGGCGGCTCAGTGCAGCAGTGGCAGGGGAGGAGTAGCGCACAACTACAGCGTCGTACAAGGTCTGAGCACTCTTGTACTGACTAAAGTGCGCACGCTCAGAGGTAGGGAGGTGGCGACGCACAGCAAGACGTGCAGCAGCATCGCGCGTAGCCCACTGGGAGCGAACAGTAGGGTCAGCATCAGCAGCAGGGGCAAGGGAAGCGCCAGAGGTAAGGTCAAAGAGAGAGAGGCCGTCTGCCCTAACGCACTATAAAAACAGCTGGAGGTCATCTACCGAGACCTCAAAGTCAATGGCTTGACCCTTAGCGTCAAAAGCGAGGACACTGGGGGTAGTCATGACGACAGACGCCTAGCAGTGCAAGCAGTAGGGTGAGGGCAGCGCAGTGAAAAAGAAGGCTCTGTGCTCACCAGACTGGGCAGAACGGGCGGTATGGAAGTAGGGCAGCTCAGCGGCCGGCGGCTCGGCTGGGGGGCGGCTCGGCTGCTCGGCGGCTCGGCTGCTGGGCGGCTCGGCGGCTCGGCTGCTCGGCTGCTGGGCGGCTCGGCGACTCGGCAGCTCGGGTGTTGGACGGCGCGGCTGCTGGGCGGCTCGGCGGCTCGGCGGTCGGCTGCTGGGCGGCTCGGCGGCTCAGCGGCTGGGCGACCCGGCGGTCGGGCGGCGGGTGGGCCGCAGGTAGGGCGGCAGGCGTGCCGCAGGTAGGGCGTCTGGCGGGCCGCTAAGTAGGGCGGCGGGGCCGTGACGTAGTACGGCGGGGCCGTCGAGTAGGGCGGCGGGGGCCGCAAAGTAGGATGGCGGGGCCGTCGATGTAGGGTAGGGCGGCGGGGCCGCAACGTAGGGCGGCGGGGTCGCGAAGTAGGGTAGGGCGGCGGGGCCGCGACGTAGGGCGGCGGGGCCGTCAAAGTAGGGCGGCGGGGCCGCAACGTAGGGCGGCGGGGCCGTCGAAGTAGGGCGGCGGGGCCGCGACGTAGGGCGGCGGCGCCGTCGAAGGGTAGGGCGGCGGGGCCGCGACGTAGGGTAGGGCGGCAGGGCCGCGACGTAGGGTAGGGCGGCAGTGCCGCGACGTAGGGCGGTGGCGCCGTCGAAGGGTAGGGCGGCGGGGCCGCGACGTAGGGCGGCGGGGCCGCGAGAGTAGGGCGGCGGGGCCGCGACCGAAAGGCGGCGCGATGGGCCGCTGGGGGGGGGGGGGGGGGGGGGGGGGGGCGACACGACGGGTCGCTAAAAAAAAAAAACACGCGCGCCTCGGGGCGCGCTTCGGTGGGCCCAAGAAACAGTCCCTAGGAGGGGACCTGCTCTGATTCTATGTGAGAATGAGAACGAGGATGAATGAACTATGAGTGAAGTGGGTACAAGTATAAGCTATAATGTTCTGACAGGAATGTTGTCATCTACGGCTTGGCTTGGTGCACGTGCGGCCTCTGTTGATTTTCCGATTTAGCTATGACGCATTTCAATTTTTCATGTTGCGTGTTGCTGTGTATCTCGAAACAAATCTGTATGAAGTGATTTCCTGAAAATGTAAATGTGTGTATTTCAAGCTCACTGGTTGTCAACATGAGGTCGGATTATATTTATGGAGTGAATATAAGCAATTTATCTCAATCGTTTTGACGGGTATGTTTTCTCATGTCGTATAGAATTCATATATGTTTAATTGTGGGTACAGTTGACTAATATAATGTCTTTTTAGATAGAAACCACTTAATTATAAATGAGTTTGCTTTATGTATCCAGGCGTGACACTCTATAGCTGGTTGTTGGACACATGTCCGTTTTTTTCATTCGCGCCGAAGATTGCGGGAGTTGGGAAGGAAGCAATTCGCGGCCCGTCTGTTTCTTATGCGAATTGCAATGCCAGCGGTTTTTGCAAAATTGTGAATGCTTTTTGCCGCGTGGTGACGAGAGATTTCAGGCATGCGTTGCGACTCGCGAGTTGTTTGTTACCGGTAGACACCCCTCTCGCAAGTTTTGCCCCTCGGAGCATTCCGACCGTTCCCTCTCGCAATTTTCGCCCCTCGAAGCATTCCGATCGTTTGTGGTTCTCTCTCAGGAGTCCCACATCCCTCACTTGTTAGATCACTCGTCATTTCAGAATCTCTTGCTGGCCATTCTCGACTTTCTGCTGCCAATAGTTGGCATTCCGTTCCGCTTATTCACCTACGCTTTTGCATGAGCACTGTTGTTCTGATCGTGGATCTACGGCCTTGCTCGCAGGGAGGTGGGTACGAACTGGGTTTCAAGGGGACACGTTGGTGGCGGTAGTTTTCCAAGCGCTAGCACCTTGCCTAGCTCAAATAAGGTGAGCTCATCTTAACATCACCGCGCGCGCACCCAGTCATGTTCTCTCTCTACCCCTTGCTTTCGGGAGTGCTGTCGTTCCCGTTTTCTTGTTCTCGCATGCTCGCGATCCCTAGCTCCCACCATCTCTATCTCCCCCTCGCATTCACGCTCTCCCTCGGTCCCATTCTCTCTCCGTCGCATTCGCGCTCCCCCGTTGTCCCGTTCTCCCTCTCCCTCGCATTCACTATCTATGTCTATGTTGCGCTCTCTATCGTTCGCATTCGATCTATCCGTCTCTCTTGCTCTCTTCCTCTTTCGCAATCTCCCTCTCCGGCACACCCGTGCTCTCTCTCGGCGCATTCGCTCTCTCTGTCTCTACCGTGTGCTCCCCCGTTCGCAATTGCCACCTCAGACTCTCCCGTGTACTCCCCCGGTCGCATGCGCGCGCTTCTCGCTCCCGTGCTCTCTCCTTTTCGCGTTCGCTCTCTCCGTGTAGGCCCCTGTTCTCTCACAGTCGCATTTGCGCGTACCGTCTCTCCCGTGATCCCTCCCTTTTGCATTTACTCTCTCCGTCGCTGCCGTGCTCTTTCTCGCTCGCTTACGGTGCTCTCGCTCGGTCGTATTTGCCATCTCAGTCGCTACCGTGCTCACCCCCGGTCGCATGCGCGCGCTTCGTCGCTGCCGTGGTCTCTCCCCTCCACGTTTGCTCTCTCCGTGTTTCCCGTGCTCTCTCTCGGTCGCATTAGCACGCTCTGTCCATCCCGTGCTCTCTCTCTTACGCATTTGCGCGCTCCGTCCCTCCCGTCTGCACTCCGTTTTGCATTCTTACGATCTGTTAACCTCTTTCGCTATCCGTTTCGTATATCCGCGCTCCGTCCCTCCCGTCCGCATACACCAGTCCCCTTCACGCACTACGCCCGTCCCGTCCGCTCTATCACGGTCGCATTCTCTCTCTCTGTCGCTCTCGTGCGTTCCCACAGTCGCATTCACATGCTCCGTCCCCGTCCGTTGTTCTCCCACCGTCGCATTCTCGCGCACCGTCTCTCCCGTGCGTTTTCAAGGTCGCATTCACGCGCTCCGTCCCTCCCTTGCACTCCCACCGTTGCATTCACGCACTCCGACTCTCCCGTGCGTTCCCACCGTCGCATTCACGCGCTCCGTCCCTCCGTTGCTCTCCCACCGTCGCATTTTCGCGCTCTGTCCCTCCCATGCATTCCCACCGTCGCATTCACGCGCTCCGTCCCTCCGTTGCCCTCCCACCGTCACGTTTTCGCGCTCTGTCCCTCCCGTGCGTTCCCACCGTCGCATTCACGCGCTCCGTCCCTCCGTTGCTCTCCCACCGTCGCATTTTCGCGCTCTGTCCCTCCCGTGCGTTTCCACGGCCGCATTCACGCGCTCCGTCCCTCCCTCCGTTTCTCTCACAGTCGCATTCACGCACTCCGTCCCTCCCTTGCGTTCCCACGGTCGCATTCTCTCTCTCCGTCCCTCCCGTGCGTCCCACGGTCGCATTCACGCGCTCCGTCCCTCCCGTGCGTTCCCACAGTCGCATTCTCTCTCTCCGTCCCTCCCTTGTGCTCCCACGGTCGCATTCTCTCTCTCCGTCCCTCCCGTGCGTTCCCACGGTCGCATTCTCTCTCTCCGTCCCTCCCTTGCTTTCCCACCGTCGCATTCTCTCTCTCCGTCCCTCCCTTGCTCTCCTACCGTCGCATTCTCTCTCTCCGTCCCTCCCTTGCTCTCCTACCGTCGCATTCTCTCTCTCCGTCCCTCCCTTGCTTTCCCACCGTTGCATTCTCTCTCTCCGTCCCTCCCTTGCTCTCCTACCGTCGCATTCTCTCTCTCCCCTCTCCTACACTCTGCCCCACTCGCTCACCCTTCCCCTCCCTGTTAAAGTCACAATAGGCTCCAATGTGCCTAAAACGAAAGATAGAGTGCACAGCCGGATTTCTGCACAGCGGCTTCAAACGTCCATAGCGTTCTGGTCACAACTTCAAATGACCTGATTCAACTTGGATCTGGAGCGTCTAAACGTCGCCTACAATAGGCAATTTAGATCGCACAATTTCACCAAGTATTGACGACACAGTGTCGGTTTGAACGAACGGCACTATGGCAGCCACTATAGTCTTAGAACACAAAATAGGAAGAGATATTAAGAGTTACGAGTTGGGAATGACTCCCAGCTCCTACAAACCCCAAGAGCCGTGGTACAGTGATGTGGAACAGTGCCACACTGTCCCCAACCACGAAGGGTCTCGAAACTACCCTTCACTAGGGCCTACACCAAGTGAAATGTTACACTACACAAAGTAATATAACTATCTTCAATATCTTGAGGTGCACTCTTTTGGCGAGCTTCGAAATCACTTGAGGCTTGACACCAAGGCTCGGGCTCTTCATCACAAACTCATCCTTGAGTTCTTGATGGGTCTGCTGCACACACCTGCGACACACCGAACGTTCGACACAGGACAAAATAGAAACCGCGCACGACAAAAAGAAAAACCGCGCGCGAGACACAAACGACCGCGTAACACGCGTCTAGCGATAACTCGCTATTGACTCGACACACACACTCGACATCATGACTCAACATTCACACACAATTATAAGCATGAAATATATATTATCCCATGCCCTCATACCATTCCATACACACACACACATGCACGCACACGGACAACAAGCTGAGTGCAAACCGTAGGGTTGCACCAACAAACTCCCCCTCGGATTGTTAGCCTTAGGATATGTTGCTCTCTCAGTTCAGAGCCATCCCAGCCAGCTTGCAACACTTCCAATGCTGCTGCTCCACCAGCCTCTTAGTCATCATGTCAGCCGGCTGCCCCGTGGTCTTCACGTACCGCAACTCAACTTCACCTGCGGTCACCATGCTCCTCGTCCAATGCCACTTCACCCTCATGTGCTTTGTGAGTCCATGCAACATAGGGTTCTTAGCAAGAGCAATGGCACCCTGGCTGTCACAGTAGAGTGGGGTAGGTCCTTGCTGCTCCTCCCCCAATTCAGCCAACAAACGCCGCTGCCACACAATCTCCCGTACGGCACGGAAGAGTGCCATGTACTCGGACTCCACCGAGCTCAAAGCTTGGTCAACCTGCTTCTTGCTCTCCCAAGCAGTTGGGCCTCCACCAACACAGCATATGAAGCCTCCCATACTTGTCATGTCCTCTGGTTCCGATGCATATGACGCATCCGAGTAGACGGTGAGGAACAAACGCCCGGGTTCAACATCATCCGCGCCCTTTTGGCGCCTTTGTGCCGCCGCCGAGTATTGCAGCCCAACGGTCGGTGTTTGGCCAAGATACTTGGCCACCCTCATTCCAGTTGCTACGTGCTCCTCATTAGGGCATTGCACAACCCTAGCCAGCTGCCCGGTAGCAAACGCGACGTCCGGTCGGGTGTTTACGGCCGCATACATGAGGCTGCCCACCAACGAGTGAAAACGGCACCTCTCCTCTTCACAAATGCTCTCCTCCTCTGGTCCCTTCACACACTTGAACCCAGAGGGAAATGGAGTAGCCACATGACCTTCACTCTGGCCGAAGTTGGCAGCCAACGCCTCCAGGTACTTCCGTTAGTGCACTCGCATGCTCCGCTTCTCCACGTCTCGTTCGATGTGGAGCCCAAGGTAGAAGTTCACGTCACCAAGGGACTTGCACTTGAGCTTGTCATGCAGCTTCAGCATCTTCTCCTTCACAAGGTCAGAGGAGGGTGAGAATATAAGAATGTCATCCACATAAACCACCATGAAGCTCCTCTGCTCCCCCTCGCCAAGCATGAACAAGGAGTGATCGGCCGTTGAGGGAGTGAAGCCGATCCCCTCCAACAGTTCGCGCAGCTTCATGTACCATTTCCTAGGGGCCTGCTTCAGCCCATAGAGGGCCTTCTTCAGCTTCCACACTCTGCCACTACCATCATCAAACCTCTCTGGCTGCGCCAGAAAAATCTCCTCCTCAAGGATGCTGTTAAGGAATGCCGTTACGATGTCCATTTGTTTTACTACCCGTCCTTTGATGGCGGCTCCCGCGAATAGGGTTCGCAGCGTTGTCGGCTTCACCACAGGGGCAAACAGCTCCTTGAAGTCCACCTTCTCCTTCTGCTGGTACCCCTTGGCTACAAGCCTAGACTTGTAGCGCTCGATCTTGCCGTCGGCATCCGACTTGATTTTGAAGAGCCACTTGGACGTAATCGCCGTACGCCCCTCCGGTAGCTCCACCAATTCAAACGTGTCATTCTCCTCGATGCTCTTCAACTCACTCTCCATGGCCTTCTTCCACTCCTCAGCATCACTACTCTCCAAAGCCTCCTTGAGAGTTGCTGGTTCTCCCAGCATCTCCACCGGAGAGAAGAACGCGAAGGCACACTCCTCGTAGTCACTCTCCTCGTCTTCTCCGACCATCATTGCCGCTCCGGCCAGGGTTGTCTTGCCCTGCTTTCCCGGCGCATCATAGGTCAGCATATTAAGGGGTTGAACTCTTCTCTTGCCCCTTCCTTCCTCCTCAACTGCAGGGACTTGAAGGCCTTGGCGTTGCTGCGGTGTGGCTCGAATTGTTATAGTCACAGTAGGCTCCAATGTGCCTAAAACGAAAGATAGAGTGCACAGTCGGATTTCTGCACAGCGACTTCAAACATTCATAGCGTTCTGCTCACAACTCCAAATGACTTCAATCAACTAGGATCTTGAACGCCTTAACGTCGCCTACAATAGGCAATTTAAATCGCACGCTTTCATTAAGAACTGACGACACAGCGTTGGTTTGAACGAACGACACTATGGCAGCAACATAGTCTTAGAACATAAGATAGGAAGAGTTAGGAAGAGTTACGAGTTGGGAATGACTCCCAGCTCCTACAAACCCCAAGAGCCGAGGTACAGTGATGTCGAACAGTGCCACACTGTCCCCAACCACGAAGGGTCTCGAAACTACCCTTCACTAGGGCCTACACCAAGTGAAATGTTACACTACACAAAGTAATGTAACTATCTTCAATATCTTGAGGTGCACCCTTTTGGCGAGCTTCGAAATCACTTGAGGCTTGACACCAAGGCTCGGGCTCGTCATCACAAACTCATCCTTGAGTTCTTGATGGGTCTGCTGCACACACCTGCGACACGCCGAACGTTTGACAAAGGACAAAATAAAAACCGCGCACGACAAAATAGAAACCGCGTGCGAGACACAAACGACCGCGTAACACGTGTCTAGCGATAACTCGCTATTGACTCGACACACACACTCGACATCATTCACACACAATTATAAGCATGAAATATATATTATCCCATGCCCTCATACCATTCCAGACACACACATGCACGCACACGGACAAGAAGCCGAGTGCAAACCGTAGGGTTGCACCAACACGAATCCGTGGAGCACTCGTAGTACGGGAAGGGAGTGACGGTGCACGCTCGCTCACTTGCTACACCTCTTCCTCTTCTTCCTCTGCATCATTGGCCTCCTCTCCCCCATTCACAAGGGAGGATTGCCTTGTGGTTGTGCTGCCGCTGCTCAGCTCCAAAGGCAGCTCCACATGCTCCAAACCGGAACTCTTCACCTCCCCAAACCGCACGCCTATCTTCGCCTCATTCTCCGCCTACCAATCTTTGTACATGAAATTCTCCATGAACTTGCAGTCCCTGCTCACCAAGAACTTCTTGGTGAATGGGTCCCAAAGAAGCCATCCCTTGCTGTTTTGAGCCATGCCCAAGTGCACGGCCCACACCGCCTTGGCACCAAGCTTGTTGTGCCGAAGATGCTTAGGCACGAGCGCCATGCACATGCACCCGAACACCCGAAGCATATCCACCTTTGGCTTCCTTCCTAGCCACTCCACATAGGGCACCCATTTGTCTGCTCCCACATGAGTCAAGGCTCGGTTCTTGGCCACACACGCGCTCCGCACCGCATCAGGCCAGAAAAAGTCGTGTAGCCCGACTTCAATGAGTAACCCGCGTGCCGCCTCCGTGATTGTGCGGTTCGCTCGCTCGGCGATGCCGTTCATTGCAGGGGAGTATCGCATGGTGAGGGAGTGCCGAATACCATTCTTCTTCAGCCACAATCCAAACTCCTTGCTCAGGAACTCTCCCCCTCGATCGGTGCGGATTGACTTGACTAGACGGTCTTGTTGCCGCTCCACCATCGGGAACCAATCCGCCTTCAACGTTTCAGCCACGTCGCTCTTCTTGGCCAGCACGTACACCCAAGTCATACGGGTGTAGACGTCCACAATAGTGAGGAAGTACTCAGCTCCAGCAGCTCCAAGCTTCAGGGGGCCCACCACGTCCATCACCACCTCATCAAGTGGTGCCTTAGCCGTTGCCTCCGAACTAGAGAATGGGAAACGGGTGAACTTGGCTTGCATGCACGTCGGGCAGCCAAGTACCTCATCGGGCTCCCCCTTCACACGTATGCCAGCAACCATCTCATTCTTTACTAGCTGCTGCAAGATGGGCAGGGCCACATGCCCAATGCGCCGATGCAAGGTGAGCCAATCACACTCCCCCGTAGCCAAAGTTGGATTGGAGAATGCCGCGCTCGCAATAGCGCCCCACATACTCTCTCCGTAGTCCTCCTCAGCTGTTGCCTCGGGGTTCTCCTCACCCTTTTGCTGCTCCTTGGCTGCTGCACCTCTCTCCATAGGTTCACCAAGCTTGCTGGTTCCTCCAAGATTGCACTTGTTGGACTCCTTCTCCTTAGCGCGACCATTCGCGCAATCGCCGCTACCAACCGCTCCACCTTTGGTGCTGACGCTTGCTGCCACTTGCCTCTCCTTAGGCATTGGGACCACAGGGATCTGCCACATCTCGTTGTAGACATCTCTATCCTCATGAAGGTCCCAAAGAATCCGATCGCCAAGCCTTGCGGTGTA